GAAGAGCCCATTAAAAGCAAGATTTGTGGTGATGGCGTACCTTTTTTGGCATAATAATGTATAATAATAAACGCCAGAGTTTATCAAGTTTAATTTTTATTGTTTAACTTTAAGTGTCAAACTTATGTGTTATGACTATTTTATATGTTAATTTTATATTAGCCATGTCTATTGAGACTAAATTATAAATATATTTTAAAAAATGATATTTTTAATTTATTATTAATTTTCCATATATGATATGTCTAATTATTTTTTTAACTATCATAATTTATATATGTTTTTAATTTATTATGATTAACTATGATGATCAATGTTATGTGATAATTAATCAAAAGAATTTATAAAATTTGTCTATTAGGCTAATGTTGTAAATTTCAATTCAAATAGATAGAAATATTTTGTTTTCATATATTCTTATTTGAGGAGGCCTTAACTGTTGGGCGAGTTGACTTATTAACTATACATTTATAACAAAAATAGATATTTTGTACTAAGATATCACATATTTATTTTTATTTATATTACTTTTTAAATTATGACATTTTGCTTTGAAAGATATAAATGTTTATATACTGAAGAAAATATAGCTACCTAACAATTTATTCTTTTTTAGCAAAAAATATAATATTTATATATTGAAGAAGATATAGTTTTATGGTTTCGAAAAAAAAAAATAAAAAGAAAGAAGATATAGCTACCTAACAAGTTTGACTCGCTTTTAAGGTTTATCTCGGTAATATGGAACCTCACCAAAGTCACTATATCAAAGAAAGTTGTCAACATATGAATATTTTCTTTTCCTGAAAATAGTTAATATGAAAAATTATTATTACTTGAATGTTAATTAGTAGTTACAATTAATTCTCTTATCCCTCTTCATAAAACTTGAAAACTAGCATCATCACAAAGTGACAAAACAATTTGGGCCGACATCTTCTACGACTCAATATATACAGGCACTTTTTTAATACCTTGTCCCATAAATAAATTTCTTTTTCACCCCCAATTCACGAAATTATATATTTAATGAACAACATAATTAACAGTTATGCGAGATTTTGTTGTATATATACCAATGCATATGCAAATCGGACCTATAGTTAATAATTATACGAAACACATTCGCATATTTTTTAATCGCAAGTCCAGTTCCATCGCATAATTTTTGATGTGCGAAATTATTTCGCATATATTGTCATCTTATATCCGAATTTATAGCCGTATTTTATCATTATGCGATATATTTTTACATATTTTACGACTCCCATATCCTAATCAGACGCATAATTAACTAACATGCGAAACACTCGCATAATAACTCCCATTTCAAATAAATTAATCCGTAATTAATTATGCATTTAACATTTCACCTAATAATTGTATATTTTAATTAAAAAATAAAAATAATAATTTTGTGGATCGAGGAATAGAGGAAGATATGTGCTCCTCGCGAGTAGGACCGAGCTCTGCGGTGAGGTCCGCGCTCTTCAAGTCACTATCCCAATTTCAAGTCAATCCACCTGCTTCGGTTTGAGCTCTTGTCTAATAAGTAACAATGGTGAAGTATTGTTTACTGGTAGGAAGGATCCAGTGCAGAAACTCACCCGAGTGAGACAATTTGCACATCATACATGAAATAAATATAAATTTATTTTCTAACCGTCCTTCTGGCTTTTGAGTCGCTGAGTCAATTCTTGGTTTGAATATTATTCTAAAAATTTTAAAATTATATATTCCTATGTACTATCTTTTCCTCATAAACATTAGTACAAAAGTAAATAAATTAAATGTATATAGTATAGGTCTAATGAGTAAATATGTCTAGTAAACTAAGATAATTTATGAGTGATAACTGAAAAGTTAGATAATATAATAAAATAATTTGACAGAATTGAATAAGTCACATGAAAGATATAATTAGTAAAATCTCTTCAAACGCCTACTTAAAAGAAACATTTTAGATAAGTTTCAACATTTTAAAAAATATTTTAACTCTATCAAATCAAACTTAGTTGAGTACAAAAAATTTATAAACTAATTAGATAAACTATAAACTACTTTATAGTGGTTACCGAATAGTAGAGATGAGAATGAGTCGTTACCAATGTTATCAAAACCGGACCGGACCGGTCAGTTCGACCGGGAACCAGATCTAGTACCGGTCCGATTTGAGTGTTTAAACCGCTAGGAACAAGAACTGGTTTCGAACCGTTCGAACCGGTAAAACCGGTGAACCGATACCGGTTCGACTGGTCAAACCGGTTCTGAAATTTAAAAAAAAAAATCTTAATGAAATAAAAAAAAAAATCAAACAAAAGGAAAAGAGTGAGAAAGTATTTTGATGTTTGATGAATTGTAATGTTGGATTGGATATATTTTGATGTTTGATGACTTTGTAGTTTGTATTTGTAATTTGAATTGCCTTGCTTTAGATGATAGATATTGAATTATTAATCTATTGTTTTAGTGAACTTAATTTAGTATTGCTTAAGGTAAACTATACTTAAAATATTAATTTATCAACTTTTATTTGAAAAAATATCATTATATGCTATAAAATTAATATAAAATTAATGATAAAATATATATATATATATATAATTATATATTATACATATAAAATAAATAAATAAATTGTATATTAGTTAAACCAGTTCGACCACTGGTCCGACCAGTGAACCATTGAATCAGTAGCTTCACCGGTTCGATGACCGGTCCGATTTTGATAACATTGGTCGTTACAGTTTGGAGATTGAGAAATCTCCTACACAGAAGTTCGGAGATCATTTAAATTCAATCTCTAAACTCATACCAAAAGTTAGGAGAACTTGGTTAGCAAGTATCGAAACAGTTTAGTTCAGTTCAACGTGTTTCACAAGTCTTAAGATTCCTAATTATTTTCTAAATTTTTTCGAATGGCTATCTAGTTGTTTTTAAATTTTGATACCTTTTTTTTTTTAATTCAACATTCATCAATACTTAATCATTTTAAATTTTTTATTCTGAAATTAAGATTAGAAAATATAGAAATAACTCAAACTTCTAGTGAAGACCAAATTTGTGCAACTAATGAGGAAATTTGAATTCTAAAAAAAATATAATTAATATAATATAATTATTGTTTTTGAAAAAATATATATGTTTCTTCAACTTTTCATACTATTTTAATTATAAGACGGAATACAACTATGAAAAGTATCAATAAATATAAGATAAATATGTTTTTTAAAATAAAATAATTAATTGTATTCAAATACTATTAAGTATAAAATTTAAGTGAAGTTTAATTGTTATTACTATATGTTATTAAGTATTTTAAATATACTCAATTATATAGGAGTAAGCGTTTTAAACAGCGTGCTATAGCGCAAATTTTCAGTGAAACGCCATGTGGCGTTTGATAGTTAGCATTTTTTTCGAAAAACTTACGCAAAATGTCGACATGACACGCTTTCTTACGTAATTTTGCGCATGCTATTTTACGCTATATTCCTACAACCATATTTAAATAAGAAAATATTTAATAACTTGTAATTTTTTGAAATTAGAGTCATATTTTCAAATGACAACTAAAAATTAAAAAAATTTGATATCAAATTCAAAATAAAAGCTCTAAAAATCCAAAGTCCTAAGTTGAATAGTGTAATATTCATCTGTCAAGTTCTATTAATAAAAAAAGGTCAGAACTAGTGGTTAGGATTAATTGTAGTTAAATTTAAAAAATTATTTAAAATATACATACTTAAAATTAAAATATGCCTTACCTTATTATATTTTCATTGTTTGTTTTTAGCATATTCACTTTTATTTAAACATTTATATTAAAATATTTACATAAAACATTTGTGAGAAACAATGCTTAAAATGTTAATTTCTGAAACATTCAAATATTATAATAATTTTTAGATTCAACCATCCAGTTTATTATATATATATATATATATATATATATATATTTATATATACACACACACACACACAATATTTTTTTATAAAAAAATATTTTTATGTCTGTATAGCTGATGCAACACGTAGTACTATTTACGCTACGTAATATGATGACTAAAATGTGACGCATTACGCTATACGCGTTTTAAAACAATGATATGATTAAAGTTGACATAAAATCTATGAACATGACATCTCTGATGTTCTCGTTCTTAATTTTGGTTATTCGGTTATGTCCTTGATACAAATATTTTTAATATCTCGAGAACCATACCAATTATTTTTCGGTTCCGTTTGAAGAAAGTCAAATGATCAACGATTCTATTTCGCTTCGTAGTGATTTCGGTCAATTTCCGTAACGGTTCGAAGTTCTCCAAATACAATATGCTCAACCGTACAAAATACATATATATAATTGCCCACTCACCATGTATGTTAATCACACAAATATACATGAATAATTTTCATTCTAAAACTAAAAAAGTAAAAACTAGGTTGATTCTCCAGGAGTGAGCAAAACCTAGTCGAAATCAAAAAATCGAATCGAATTGAACCGTGCAATTTATTGCTGTTCGGTTTGGTCTTTTAATGTAAAAAATTTTCAGTTTGATTTTTTCCTACATTGCGGTGCAATGCACTTATAGTTTTTTATTATTGTGGTTTTCGGTTTTGTTCGGTTCGGTGCGGTTTTGCGTCGAACCACACCAAATTGAACAAAATGTATAAAAAAATCGTGATAAAATCGAGTTGAATCATGCATTTCGGTACGGTGCGGATTCAATTATTTCAATATAAAAAGAAATTCGATTCAGTTTTGGTTCGATTTTTCGGTTTTTTCTGATTCAGTGCGTTTTTTCAACGAATAACACCGTTGCTTACCTTCAGTTGTTTGGGAAAATGTACGAATACGCTGATCTACAGTCAGGCCGACCCATATTGAAAAAGACTGATATTTTTTGTGTTAAATAAAAAGCATAATTTTAATTGTAAATGCCGGCACTAAATTCTCTATATAAACAAGCACCGGGAAAGAGCCCCGCAAAACGGCACAGGCACATATATAACTATTCTTGTTCTACTTTACTTTGCCAAATAAATACCCCCAAAAAAAAACACCAGGAAAAAACAAATAGTGATGGGAAAGGATTTGGCCACAGCCATGAACGCCCGAACCCTTGGCTCCGGCACCCAAACCATAGTATTGGCTCATGGTTTTGGTGGCGACCAGTCGATGTGGGACAAGCTCCTCCCCCACTTGGCCGCCAACCACCGTGTTGTCCTCTTCGATTGGTGTTTTTCCGGCGCCGTCCTCGACCCCACTCTCTATGACCCCATTAGGTTGCTTTCCTTTTTCCGTCTATATCTCCAATTAAATTATTATTATTATTATTATTATTTGAAAAGAAGTATATGACTGCCTGATGTCGGTCCATCTAATTAACTGTTACGTTGATGATTTCAATTTATTTTTTCTTTCTTATCTTATATAATTTGGGCATGAAATCTCGAAGTTGACACGTGGATATGTGGTTCGATCACAGGCACAGTACATACGATGGTTATGCGGAGGATTTGATCGGTTTGTTAGAGGAGATGAAGATAGAGTCGTGTGTGTTGTTGGGTCACTCCATGTCGGGTATGATTGGGTGCATCGCGTCCATTAAAAGGCCCGACCTTTTCACTAGGCTCGTGCTCCTTGGAACTTCTCCAAGGTACGTTTTATTTATTTATTTATTTATTTATTTATTGACCTCAGTACGCTTTCATTTATTTTATTAATTTGAGTCGACTTCGTTTATTTATTGTTTGAAATTTTGCATCGAGATCTCACTGTATGTTTGAATTAATCCAGAAAAATTATAATTTTAAGTATAGCAATTGCAGTCTTAATAACACAAATAAATGCCAAGTGTCTCAAAAATTCAAATTGCAGAAGGCTCTTATTTTCCAATGCACCCACCTTTTTTGTCTTCATTTTATGTCAGAGAACAACATAAGTTAACTTCGTTCTGCATAGGACTATAAAAGAGACAAGCTGGTCTCGAGCAGCGGTGGATCCAGCAAATTTCATGAGTCAAGGCAAAATATAGTTCGAAATTTTTTTAACCATATTGCACAAAATATTTATATTAGCAATTAAATAAATCATTAGAATAATCGGGTGTTGAAGTGTTTCCTATTTAATTTGTCTTTGACTTGATGCTAAAAAATAAAATTGAGAATGAGGTCTGGTTATTTATTTAGTATTTTATTATTATTAAAAAATATACCAGATATATTTTACAATCTCTTTTCCTTCATTTTTGTGTAATACGAAATAAACAAGTTATTTTGAAATATAATTTATTCATTTAAGAAAAGTCTAAATGTCATCATTTTGTTCTTTTTATTTTATAAAAAATTTCTTCTGGATTATCTTCTTATAGATAAATGTAGAGTTTTTCATTGGCAATTTCCAAAGCTTTGTAATTCTATATACTAATTCCTAAGGATTCGAAATAGTCCATATAAATATGGATCTTTATCAAGAACTTCTAAATTTAAACTCTTGGATAACTTAAATTATAAATATATTTTAAAAGTCAACAACATTTATATATTATCATTTTTTATATATTATAACTTAAATTAGCCATATTTTAACAATATATAATTTGTCATTCATATTATATATGTAAATTAAAATAATTATATCTATCTAATCCATATCAATAAAAATTTAAATATTTATCAATTATAATTGAAAAATAATAAATTTATCTATCAAGCTTATTATATGGTATAAGAACAAAAAATGTTATAATATAATATCGTCAAATCTAACCGGTGAGTTCAGGTGTATCAGTTTAAATATAAACAAAAATATTATTTTGTTAAGAATTATATAAAATTTTAAAATAAAAACTTGTATTTATATTTTTACACATATTAAATATAAATTTTTTATTAACACATGTTAACTATACTAATTAGCACAAAAAATTGAGCCTAGGCAATTACCTAGGCTCGCCTACATGTGAATCCGCCGGTGGTCTCGAGTTTTAACGAGCTGAACTACAAAAAATTATATAAAAAAATTCTCTTTTCGAGCCTTATCAATCCAAACTGAGCCCAACTTGTTACCGAAACAAGCTTTAATAGAGCTCGAGCTCGGCTAGCCGAATTCGAGTCAAGCCGAGCCGAGCCGAGCTCACGAGCGACTCCTCTCGTTTAACAGCTCTAGTTCTGCAGGTCAAATCGTGTTTAATTGCATCAGAAAACTTGGGATTAGATAGAAATAATATAGAATGCTTGTCCTTGGACAAGTACTTGAAAATATTTTATAACTTTTGTTACGAGATTCCTTACTTATGTAAGTATTATTTGACAATTAACACTAAATTCCATACAAATATAGCAAAATTTCTTCAATAGATATTGCAATTATAGAAAATGCCACTAGCTAATTCAAATCGAGTACAACTAAATGTCCAAAAATAATTCAAAAAAAATGAAAAAACTACCCGCTAATTAATTGTAAAAAATTGCTAAGATATGTCAATTAACTCTTGTGTTTGGACAAAGATTCACAATTTGATTAGTTAGTCACACTTTCTTCAATATTTGTAATTTTGGCAGGTTATTAAACTGTGAAGACTATGAAGGGGGCTTCGAGTTATCGGACATAGAGAACATTTTCACGAGCATCGAGTCGAATTTCGAGGTTTGGTCTTCAAACTACCCTTCTCTCGCCGTGGACAAAAGTGATCCCACGTCAGCAGACAAGTTCAGCAAATGTCTGAAAAGAATGAGGCCTGAAGTTACACTTTCCCTAGCGAAAACCGTGTTCCTCGGCGACTATAGAGACATTCTCGACAAAGTTGAAAAGCCCTGTGACATCATCCAGACGAGAAGTGATGTCGTGGTCCCAAACTCGGTCACAGAGTACATGCAGAGGAAAATTAAGGGGAATTGTACGGTGAAGATTATTGACACGGAGGGTCATTTCCCTCATCTCACGGCCCATGTTCAGTTAGTTGAGGTGTTGGATAACATTTTACGTTGTTAATTAGCATTTGATCGTTTCACAAATTATTAATGTTTTAGTTTGTTTCAATGTTTGTTTTAAGGTTTGGGATTGCTTCACAAAATATGGTATTCGAAGATACTTTTGTTTGTAAGCATGGTTCGAGATATATCGTTTGTACTGTGATTTAATGAAAATGTTTGTGTTGGATCATAAAAAATGAAAAGGACAAAATACTTAGAAGTGGAAAAAACTAGAGTAAGGGAGACTAATTACTTGTATAGATATTTAATTGCAGTTATAATATGCGTCCATACGATAGTTTTTTATACAATAAACATGTCATATTAGGATAATACACATTCATAATAGATATACAAGCAGTGGCGAATTTACATGGATTAATAGGGGCAATTGTCCCCCCTCAAATTTTAATTTTTTTTATTAATAATATTAAACTTGTTCTCCCTTTAAATTTATTTTTGCACCCCTATATTTTTTGGTTTTAAACATCACTCGCCAGACCAACTTGTCCACAATTGTCAATTAACAATTCAACACTTCTTTTATTTACTATTAATTTTGTATATTAATTATTATCATTCTACAATTTTAATTTGTTCATATAAAAGACTTCAACTCTCTTTTATTACCCAGGCTAGGGCTGATATTTTTTGACCGGAAATCAAAAACCGAATCGAACCGAACCGATGAGAAAATAAACCGAACTGAACCGACTTATGTGTAACGGTAACCAAAAATCGGTTACCGAAATGTTATCGGTTCACTATCGATTCTGAACTCATTATGTCATGTCTTTTGCCCCCTCTCAACTAATTTTTTGGTTTCGCCGCAAGAAGAGTGCCATTTTTTTTTTCAAGGACTCATTATCGAAGGAAATCAATATCAAGGATAAATTATATATGTTCAGCCTGTTAACGAGCTTAATGAAGATCATTTGGCTAAAGGTCCAGTCAGCAAAAGGAAAAGTGGCACATGCACCATGCATGGTACAATGCAAGAGTACCTTGAGGATAAAGCTGAAAAAGGAGTCTTGTCTTCTAGTTTAGGCTAATAGAAATTATACAAGTGTCCATTGTTTCTAGATCCTTCCCTTTGATATAAAAAGCAAATGTAAACAGTGAAATCACAATTCATTATCTCTGAAACATGATGTAGTGAGAATAAAAAGAAAGAGAACACATCTCGTTTTTATTGCTACCATTATTTTTCATGTTTTTGTATTTTTCTTCTTTCATGGCATCAGAGCCATAAAGATCTCTGTTTTCTGATTTTTTCATCACAACCACAGCACCATGTCGGAGATTCAAACAACTGGTGCTGGATCTCATCCTGGTGACCAATCCATCCATCTTCAAGGACAGCTCATTAGCATCAAACTCTCTGATGAGAACTACCTCCTCTGGGATCAGCAAGTTCTTGCAGCCATACGAGGCTATGGCCTTGAAGGCTACATCAATGGTGAACTGACAGCTCCTGATAAGATCTACACACCTTCTGACAGCACAACTCCACAAATCAACCCTCAGTACCAAACAAGATCAACTTATCATGTCATGGATCTTATCATCTCTCAGTGAAGGAATTCTGGTTACAACAGTGGGTCTAAGCACAGCGAAAGAAGTTTGGGACAGCCTCAGATCTAGATTTGCAAGCCATAACAGAGCTAAGGTTATGCAACTGAAACTCCAACTGCAGTCCTTGAAGAAAGGTAACACCTCCATTAAGGAGTACTTTAACAAGGTCAAATCTACTTGTGATATGCTGGGATCTATAGGAGAAAGGATCAAAGAAGGAGACCAAATCTTGTATCTTTTGAATGGTTTGGGTTCTGAATATAACCCAATCATAATATCCTTGACCACCAGACCTGAAACACTGAATCTCATGGAAGTATATGCCATGCTGTTGAGTTTTGAGAATAGGCTGGAGATTCTTGAAAAAGCTTCTGAAAATAAAAATGGCAACTTCAGTGTAAATCTTGCCACACAAAATACCTTTGGGACCAAAAGAGGAAGAGGAAGATCAGGTCCTCAGTTCCATGGTTTCAGAGGAAGAGGCTTTGGTGGAAGAACATCAAGGGGAAGAGGTGGTAGAACAAGTGGTAGAGCTAGATGTCAGATTTGTGGTTACAACAACCACACGGCTGACAAATGCTATTACAGATATGATAGCAGCTACACTCCACCTCAAGTTAACAGCAACCAAGGACCAAACTCCAACCAAGGGGGAAACAGTCAAAGCTACAACATGATGAACTACAATCACTCAGCTCACATGGCAAGTGTTGGACAGCAAAACAATGAGACTCCTCAAGCCAACTGGTGGTACCCTGATTCAGGTGCAACAAACCACCTTACCAATGACTTCAGTAATCTTAGCATAGGAGGAGATTTCAATGGCTCAGAAACAATCCTAATGGTAAATGGAGCAGGTATGAAAATTGCTCACTTTGGCAAGTCTTTCATTGAATCTGCCCATAATCCTGATCATGTGTTTTGCTTGAATAACCTCTTTCATGTGCCACAAATTACTAAGAACCTTCTTAGTGTCTCACAGTTTGCTAAAGACAACCAAGTATTCTTTGAATTTCACCCCCTTGCATGTTTTGTGAAGGATCAAGCCACCAAGGAAGTTCTGTTAAAAGGGACTCTTAGAAATGGACTATACATCTTTCAACTCACCAAATGCAAGAATCCAGTAACTCATCTTCCCAGCTTTCCCAGTTTTCAATCAAGTGTCAATAGTGCTGCCCTTAATAAAACAGATTTAGATATGTGGCATTCAAGGTTGGGTCATCCTTCTTTTGATGTAGTGAAAAGAGCACTGACATATTGTAATGTTCCTTTTTATGGAAATCAAAGTACTAGTTTTTGTGTTGATTGCATGAAGTCCAAAATGCATAAGCTTCCTTTCAGTCCATCTCTTAATCATTCATATCAGTCACTTGACCTTATTCACAGTGATCTTTGGGGACCTTCTCCAACTGTTTCACATAATGGTTTTAAATATTATGTGAGTTTTATAGACCATGCCACAAGATATACTTGGATATACCTGCTCAAAAACAAATCTCAAACCAAAACAGCCTTCATCCAATTCAAACACCTTGTTGAAAACCAATTCAATAAGAAGATAAAGGCATTACAAACAGATGGAGGGGGTGAATTCATTGGAATGATTGACTTTCTTAATCAAGCTGGTATAAAACACAAAATTTCATGTCCATATACCCCGGAGCAGAACGGGTTAGCAGAAAGAAAACACAGAAACATAGTGGAAGTAGGATTGTCACTCATTTCCCAGTCTAATGTGCCATTGACCTATTGGGATGAAGCCTTCACTACAGCAGTCCATCTCATTAACCTTACTCCCAAGAAAAATTTGGAGTATAAAACACCATTTGAAATGCTCCTTAATACCAAACCAGACTACTCACACTTAAAAATTTTTGGATGTCTGTGTTTTCCTAACCTTAGACCCTATGCCATAAACAAACTTGAACCAAGAAGCCAATCATCCACCTTTATAGGCTACAGCCCCAACCATAAAGGGTACATAATTTTACTTCCCAACAACAAAATCATTGTTACCAGGGATGTCATTTTTGATGAAACCATTTTCCCTTATGCATCAAAACCCTTCACCAATCTCCATGAACCTGTTCATAACAAATCTGATAAAACCTCACCTATCATTCCTCTTGCTTTTTTTTCAAATGACACTAACTGTGTTCCACTTGAACCTACCACCAACACACCATCATCACCAACTCATCAATCACCTCAAATCACAATCATACACCTTCATCATCCTCATCCTCACCAACATTACACAGCTCATCCTCACCAACATCACACAGCTCATCCTCACCAACATCACACAGCTCATCACCAAGATCACACAACTCATCACACACAATTCCTATTGGGCAGATTATTGTTGACTTACCAATTGAGCATGCTTCATCATCTGATTCTCATACTTCTTCTAGTCCTATACAAAATGCTGCAGGAACTCACCATATGACAACAAGGCTCAAGGCAGGTATCAGAAAGCCTAAATTCAGAGCTTACTCCTCAGAAGTTATGCATGGTTTAATGGAGCCATCCAACCCAGATGAGGCTTTACTCATTCCTGAGTGGAAGCAAGCAATGGAGGCTGAATATTTAGCCTTAATGAAGAACAAAACTTGGGTCCTTACTCCAATGCCAAGTGACAGATCAGTTATTGGCAACAAGTGGGTGTTTAAGCTTAAAAGGAACTCAGATGGCTCAGTGGCTAAATGCAAGGCCAGATTAGTGGCTAAGGGATACAATCAATGTCCTGGATTGGATTATACTGAGACTTTTAGTCCAGTTATTAAACCAGCAACAATAAGGATAGTGTTAACTTTGGCTGTTTCAAAAGGCTGGACAATTAAACAGCTTGACATTGATAATGCCTTCCTTAATGGAGACATTGATGCAGACATTTACATGGAGCAGCCGAAGGGCTTTGAAATTCATGGTGCCACTCCATTGGTCTGCAAACTCAATAGATCTCTATATGGTTTGAAGCAGGCATCTCGAGCATGGACAAGTAAGTTCTCTAGTGTGCTTCTCAGTATGGGTTTCATCACATCTAAGTCTGATTCCTCTCTCTATATGAAGCATGGGCAGAATTCTATTCTATTGCTTATGGTCTATGTTGATGATATAATCCTCACTGGTTCTAATGACAATGAGATTCATACTTTTATCTCATCTCTTCATTCTCATTTTTCCCTCAAAGACCTTGGAGCCCTCAGTTACTTCCTTGGCATACAAGCTACCTACACTTCTCAAGGCTTGTTCCTTACTCAAGGGAAATACATTGCTGAATTGATTGACAAAGCAGGGATGAAGGGGGCAAAAGGTGTTAATTCACCTATGATTTCCACCCCAGCTTTATCAAAATTTACTGGTCAACCAATGGAGAACCCTACACTTTACAGACAGATTGTAGGTGCCTTGCAATATGTGACTCTCACAAGGCCAGAC